TATGCATGTGCTCTTAATTGTTTTGTGTACATGTATTTTAAATATTCAGACATATTGCTAGGTAGATAGTTCATCCTTTTCCTTTTTTTATTTTAAGGACTTGATTTTTTAAGAGCAGCTTTAGGTTCACAGCAAAATGAAAAAGGAAGTTGCAGAGCTGGTCCTTTTAGCCCCTGCGCCCTCACATGCCCCACGTCCCCCATGGTCAAGCCCCCATCACAGTGGCACGTTTGTTACATTGGTGAACCACTCTTTCTTTTCTTTTTTTCTCACTAAGCACTGTTTCTAAGATGCATGACTGTTGTTCTGTGTACTGCTAATCCATTACATCTAGTTGCTGTGCTCCTGTTGAATCTACAGATCTCTGGCTATCCAGGAGGCTGAAGTTTGTTCATGTGTTTTGCTTTGTTTTGTTTTCTTTTATGAACTCCCTGAAGTACATATGGGTTTCCAGAATATGTGGAGACCAGACATTCCTATTTCAGGGTGAAAAGGCTTCTGTTGGCACAGAGAGGCAGGTTGAGGGTGAAGTCCCAGCCTGGTAGGAGACAGAAGATAATTGGAATAAAAGAATAAAAAGTGATGATTACTCAGATGAATTTCCTTTCCTTTTACATTTGTCTGGCATTTGTGCTTCTTAAACAAGTAGCTTTGGCCTCCTGTGGGTCTGTGATGGAGGAAAAGGAGAATAGTCTGCTCAGTGTCTGTGCTTTTCCATGAGCATCACCAAGCTATTTTCAATCACTTTCCAAAGCCTTTTGTTGATGTTCTGTAGAGATTGCAAGGAAAGAGCTTTACAGCTGAGGCCTCTGGGAAAGGCTGGAGCCCCTTTATGTAACTGCTGGAACAGTCCGTAAGGGCTCTGTTGTATCTCTTTACTTCCTTTCTAAATGGCCCTACCTTTCCCATAGCGTTTTCTCTCCTCTCCTCTCCTCTTTTGTCTCATGTTGCATTTACATTTGCTCCCTTTATAATTACTTTGCTTTAGACACCAGTTGAAACAAGATTTGTTAGATTTCCCAGGGTATGCCACTCATATGAGCATGTATAACATTCTCAGCTTTCTCATATGTCATCTTGCCATATCCCTGTGAATTAAGGTACAACAAATATTATTCCCACTTTACAGATTAAGAAAGCAAGGAATGGTGAAGTTGAGTTTAAGATAGAAAAATTTTTCATCCAACAGGAGCTTCTTACTGGAAATTTACTCAGTCTCCTGATAATACTTTAAAACCTGGCAAGTACTTTGCATTCATTTGTATGATGAAAATGAGAGTTAGCAGTTGGTATAAAATGGTTAAGGAACAAAATGAAGGACCCTGAATTTTGTATGACATACCTGCTTGTGCCCAGATTTGGGCTGCCTCTGTGTAGCTGAGTGAAAACTTCTTGGAAACCTGACTGCAGCCTTACTGGTGAATCTAAGAGGGCCTGCTAATCAAGTGTGCTAATTCCCTGGTAATGGCAGGAGAATTTATTCTAACAGACCATAGAGAAGGTGAGGAACCAAGGGCTTGTCTCCTTGAGGTGCAGTTTGAGCTGAAGGCTGAACCCTTGGGTATCTATCCACTGCCTGGGGTCTGGGAAGGCTTCCTGGAAGGCATGAAGTAACCTGCAGGAAGTGCTTTTAAAACATCCCTGGAAAGGGTCTGCATTTTATTCTTAGAGCAGTAGCACAGGTTAAAAATTTTTTGCAGCAATCCTTCAATTTCAAAATTATCAAGTACAAAACGAAATTTCTTATTTTTAGAGTAAGGTTTCAATAGAGAGTTGCCAAAAGAAAAGTAATTCGTTCCTTTTCATTTTGAAATGAATTGCTCAGCAAGCCAGCACATGTCTTATTCTGCTCCAGAAAAGTCAGGGGCTTTCCTAAATAAATTATCTACTGAATGTGAGATAAGATGACTCTCTCTTATTCTCCCGCTTTTTAAATTTATTGCCACGATTTTCACAATATACATTTCAAACCTTGAGTGATCTGTAATCTATCACTAAGATAAAGTATGGTATAAAGTCAGAGAGTGACCTTTTATTTTTCATAATAACCCAAATGTAATAAAAGCCACATGTAAAATAAGCCTGCAAGAAGAGATTATCTGCAGTAGCATATGTTCAGTGTTAGAAATTAGAAATCAATTGCAAAACACAGTGGGAGTATGTCATTATAAGAAATGACAGCTCAAAAAAAAAAAGAAAAGAAAGAAAGAATTGATAGCTCAGCATAGTTCCATGTTTGGCATCTGTTCTGATTGGTAACACTGGGTATAGTATTAAAAATATTTAGCAAGCAGTATGGCACAGATCAGATCAGCCAGAAGGAGTGGGGACTGGAGATCCTTTCCTTTTGGTTGATGGAGGATGGTGTCTGCCAGGGTTCCCAGAGATGAAGCCACAGCATCAGGGAGGGGGCCAGGATGACAGCCATTTATGAACCAGGTTGTAGGTATTTTTACTGTTTTAACATCCAGTGCAGCTGAATATCTACACTGACATCAATCCAGTTCCCAAAGGGAATTAGGGGGTTGTACTTTAATTTCTTATCTCTTCTCCACCCCTTGAGCAAAGATGACTTCATCCCTTAAAGATGTCTTGAGTTACTTACCTTCCCCCTTCCCTACTGCAGAGTAAACTTTCTAAAAAGCAAAACTGATGAATTCCACTGCCCTGATTAAAACTTTTTTGGATGAAGTCCAAGGTCCTTACGGGGACCTGCCTGACATTCAAGATCTAGACCCTGTTGTCTTTTTAGCCTCACTCCCCATCATCGCCTCAGGCATTTACTCTCCAGTGCAGTTTTCACAGTGCCAGCCACCAGTGTACTCAAGAGATGAGGCGGTTTAAATGTTTGCTCTAGCAGACCTGTGGTAACATGCTTACCTGTGGCTAGCTGCCCACAGGCTGGCACAGCACCTTGCATGTTGTAGGTGCTTCTGTTGAACCCTGATAGACAGATTAGCCTGGCATTCTTCTTAGAAATGATATTGGGTTTTTTGTTTGTTTAGGTAACAGTTTGAACCAACTCCTGAGTCAGTAAGGCTGAGGCATGAAGGGTGATAGACACTTCAGATGATGGCTATAGTCTGTAATTGAAGGGTAGTTGAATAAGTGAATGATGGATTTCATGTATGTTCAGGGTAGAGTTTGTTGTTAGGATCTTTGCATCCACATTATTAGCTGTAATGCAGTATCAGTGGTTTTTCCTAATACAAACAGTATTCTCATGTAATACTTATAAAATATAAAGTGTTAAATTTAAGTGAAGTTTGTAGAGCTCAGCACAGAGTAAAAAAAATAAAAATGGACTCTGTCCTCATGAAGGTTATAGTCTAATGAGGGAATCAAATAATAAAATGTCCTCCATCTCTGCTTTCCATCCTCCATAATCACTTACCTGGACCAGAGCAGTAGACTCCACACTGGTCTCCCTGCCTGAGTACAAGTCCTTAAACTTACTCCACATGGGAGCTAGAGAGAGGTTTTACAAATTTGAATCAAGGCTTGTGTCTGTACTGCTTAATTCCATTCATGATTTCACATTGCAGTTACGATAAAATTTTAATTTCTTTCCATGTCTTCAAGGTCAAGTTTGATAGCACCCCTGGCTCTTTCTCCAGCCATTAATCAGGCCACTGTGCCCCTCTGTACCCCTGTGTGCCCCACTGTGCCCCACTGGGTCCACCAACCCTGGCCGTAAAGGCAGCCTTTGATTCCTCCAACCCCTGAGCTTCTTCCCTTGACAACTTCGGGCAGTTCTCTGGCTGCCCCCTTGGCTGGCCCTCTCTCATCCTTTGTATCTATCTACAGTTGGTCCCCCCCAACCCCCATCACTGTTATTCTTTATATTGAAGAACCTTTCCTAGCCCTTAACACAATTTATAATTATCTCTAAATTTGTTAAGGAGAAACGTTGTCTGAAATTAAGGTTTTCCTGTGCAGTTTAGAGCTAAGAGGAGAGGATTGGATCTTGAGACTTGCAATGCAGGCATCCTTTCTCCTGATTCCAAAGCGATACCTAATTAAATTACTTAGGGATAATTCCCAAGCCACTTGCAATCAGCAAAGGCATTCTCCCTACCAATTTTGGTCAGAATGATTACCTCTGCAAAATAGGGTGTGCTCTCCCTATTTTGCAGAGGTAACATTTGGAAGTTACAATGCATTAACAGAAGCCTAGGTGGTATTAGCCATACAGTTAGCCAAATCTGAATATAGTCAATTATCCAGAGGAAGCCTCTCTTTACAGATATGATAAGGTGAAGAGCAAGCATGAATAGTCATAAAAAATCAAATGCTGGATGAATAGGAAATTTTCAGACAACTCTGATCTAGGAAGAATGGATGGTTAGAAACCTAAGGTGTAAGAGAAAGGCAGGCTCTGTGAGTCCTCAAGATACATGTTTAGAGCAGATGCTACTGGAGGAACCAGAGACTGAGGGAGGTAAAGGAGTGGTGAGGGAGGACAGAGGGGTAGAGAGAGAGAGAGAGACAAAGAGACAGAGAGAGAGAGAGAGAGACAGGAGACAGATGGAAGGGGAGGGAAAGGTGATATAAATCACACGATGCCAGGCCTTCCAAACTCTGTCAGGGTGTCAAGTACCTGGCATCCCTCCTGAGGAATCCTTGATGCTGTTGGAGGGAGGACTGGTTACAAAAGGCGAAGTGGCAGGTGACGGAGGGCCATCTGCTTTCATTAGACAGACCGTGTTTGTCTAGAAGATTATTGTTCCCTTCCCTGGGATTCCCATTGCTCCAAAGCATCTGATTTCCTCTTCCAACTCTCTTAGCAATAATTTATTGAAGTTGTACTTCTGGCCAACAGAAATAGTTTTGTTTTGTTTTGTTTTGTTTTTTGGCGAGAGGTGGTGCACGTATGTGCCTAGCAGTTTAGGAATGCAGGAACCAACATCCTCCTTACAAATTCTAAAACCTTTGAAAGAAACAATGCAACCAGTCCTTCCTACTGTAGGTTGCTCACTGATGTTGCTGTTTGTCTGCAGTTTGCCACGAGTCCTGCGCGGCCTGCTGGGGCCCCACAGAGAAGCACTGCTTGGCCTGCAGAGCCCCCCTCCAAGTGCTGAAAGAGGGCCGCTGTGAGAGCAGCTGTGGAGATGGGTTTTACAACAAGCAGGGGACCTGCAGTGGTAAGTGGCCAGCTTTGCATGCCAAAGCATCTTTTTTCTTCTGCATCTCTTGTTTTATTCAAACCGTAGCATCTGATAACTTTCTTTACTCAACAAATACGCAAGTGGCCGCTAACATTGGCAGTGTTGTAGTACTTTATAGAAACATGTTTTTATCACTGGCAGGATCCCCTTTGGCACCCCCATCCCCAACAGCTTGTTAGGTTGGGTTGCTCATTCTAGCTTGCAGGGGTGGAGGAAGACAGCAAGGCTCAGGCTGCTCGCTCTAAACCCCGCAGCTGTAGGGAGAGGAGTGGGGCTTCCTTTCTCCAGATCCCAAACTGTGCATCAGCCTCGCACCTCCTTCTAAATATACATGGAGACAAAGAAACTCAGGTCAGCTGGAGGCCAACCTGACTTCAGTTTCGTAGCTGTGACTTAAAGCCACAGCAGTGGCTGTACATTCTACCTTTAACACCACTGTATGAGTTAGCCCAGCTTAGGCTTCTTTGTGCTTTATAAACACTAACACATTGAGAATATCATTCAGCCATAAAAAAGAAAAAATCCTGCCATTTGCAACCACATGGACAGACCTAGAGGGTATTATGCTCAGTAAAATAAGCCAGGTGGAGAAAAACAAATACCATATGATTTCAATTATATGTTGAATCTAAACTCAAAACAAAACAAAATGAACAAAATAGTAGTAGACTCATAGACACTGAGGGGTGACTGGTAGTTACTGTTGGGGAAGGGTTGGGGTGTGTGTGTGTGGAAAGGGTGAGGGTGATAAAGGGGCACAAAATCTCAATCATAATGTAAATCAGTCACAGAGATATAGAGAATATAGTCAATATTCTGTAACATCTTTCTATGTTGAAAGATAGTAACTACACTAGTTGGGGTGAGGATTAAATAATGTAGATTACTGTTGAATATTGTTGTATACCTGAAACCAATATAATATTGTATATCAACTCTACTTCAATTAAAAAAAAATATCACCCCCAATATTAATTCATCAGGAGGCAGGAACATATTGGGAGGAAAAGCATAACCTTGTGCAAGTCAGTTTCCCATTTGTAAAATGGGGATAATAGTAGTAGCTGTGATAGACAGAATAAAGGCCTCTCAGAGATGTCTGTGTACTAATTGCTGGGGTTTGTGAATATGCTGCCTTAGGTGGCAAAAGGGGCTTTGCAGATATGATTAAGTAAAGGATCTGAGATAGAGGATATTATCCTGGATTATTGGGGTGGGCCGTGTAATCAATCACATGGGTCCTTAAATGAGGGAGTCAGGAGGGTTGGAGGCAGAAAAATAGAGCTGAGACAGAAGCAGAGGTCAGTGATGGTCACAGTGAAGCTCACAAAAGGCCATGAGCATGCAGGCAGCCTGTGGCCCCTGGAAAATGACAAAGCAGCGTTTCCCCACAGGGCTTCTGGAGGGCAGGCAGGCCTGCTGATGCCTTGATTTTTGGGACTTCTGACCTCTAAAGATGTAAAATAATAATCTGTGTTGTTTTAAGCCACTGAATTTGTGGTACTCTGTTACAGCAGTAATGAGAAACACACAGCCACCCACCTCAGAAGGTTGTTCTGAGGACTGATAGATTTAATATATGCAAGGTATTTAGCACACTGCCTGGCACAGAGTAAGTGCTATTTAAGTTTTTGGTATTTAATCTTCACGACGATTTCATGAGATAGTTATTATTATTGTCCTTCTTTTCTAGATGAAGAAATAGAGAGGGTAAGACACTTGCCTAAGGGATTCAAGTCTTGGTCTTTGGCTTTACATGGTAACAGCCTCTGAACTGCTCTACTGCTTGCTGTAATGGGACACCTCCTCATGCACCCCTGCCTGTTTCTCTCTCTTCTCCTTCTCTGTTATCCTTCTAACCTCTCTCTTAGTCCTCTTCTCCCCCTTCCTCCTTGTCTTCCTGTCAGTCTTTAGGTCAGGCAGCTGTCCCCATGGACATTGCCAAGTGCCCAGGTAGGCACTTGATGGTGAAGAAAGGCTTGAGTTGGGTTTACTGTGATGGCCATACCTATAAAAAGGCTGAGATGACTTTCTTTTTTAATAACTCAGTCCATTAAATCAATAAAACTGTGCAGCCCGTAAACTTCCTTGAGTTACTGTACTCATTTTTTTTACTGAGCAGGGCACTAGCAAAAGTGAGACGGTCTTTGGGACTTGCCACATCCACTTGTCTTAGGGAAGAGAGAGAGCTGTTGGCAGCTGCTTGCTTAAAGCTATGCAGAGACCCCTCAGCATTGCTGGTGTGAAAAATCTCACTTGAATGGATGAGTCACAGGTCTTTGGTGTGGATTCAGGAAGAGAATGTCCAGGCTGCCAACAGCCTGAGCAATTTAATCTTTTTCTGTCAGCATCACTTTCCTGCTCAATTAAGCCAGATGTATTCTCTAAAGGTCAGCAGATGGCAAATTTGCACTAATCCCAAAGGCCTAAAGGCATTTAGACTTTAAGGACCCAAGGAGGCTGGCTGCTGTCACTGATGAGCAGTGATAGATACTGAGCTGCTGCCTCAACAGCATTATCTGGATTGAGAAAGCAACTTTTGCTGAGAAAGTGTGTACTGAAAAGGAAGGATGGCTAGTGAGCCTTGAAGCAGTGAGGGTGGAAATCTGCTCCAGCTGAGAGCTTGAGTGAAGAAAGCCGAAGTTCCTCGAAGACCAGAAGAGTTAAAAAAGAAGGACTACAGGTGGCCCAGGGAGAGAGTATACATCTGAAATGCTATCTGTACACATTCTAAAATAAAGCATCAGAAAGAAAACTCCCAACAGGCCAACAGGTAATTACTGAACACCTGCCGTGTGCTTAGCACAATGCAAGACTTTGTGATGTCACTGGCATTGACTAGCTGGCCTTTTGATAAAGGCTAGAGTTTACACCCTTCATAAAATTTTTAGAATTTTCTAAGTTTGCCTCAAATGTCTTCAGAAATGTCCGTGTAAATACATTCTAAAACAATGTGAACCAAGCCACTGATTGGTATCAGAATGTTGAGACATCTGATGCTGATAATGCTGACTTATTTCCAGTTTAGGTCAGTACTATTTATGATAAAAACCGGCTGGTGTTGGTTTAATAATTTATAAACCAAGCAGCCCATATCTGTAGAAATCTCAAAGTCAAGTGTTGAGAAAAATCCAGCATAACCTGTTGTAAGTGGTATGCCCTGGCTGAAAGAAACGACAGCAACCAAGTTCATCTGTGGTACATGCTTTGAGTTTTACAAAAGTTATGTATAAAGGGTGAGGAAATTCAGAGGACAAAACCTCCTCATTCTTTAGCCTTTTAAGTATGTGTGCTATAATGAAGGGCTTTCTGATGCTAGCTAACGTAATAAATCAAAGCGAGCTCAGAGGTTTCTGTAGCTACTTCCTCTCTCTTCCTTCTTCCTTTCCTCTGCTTTTCTCTTGCCTTCCTTTCTTCCTTTTGTACCTATTTCCCTTCTCTGCCTAGGCAACTATTTTAACTTTTTATCTTTTCATTTTTATGGGCTCATATAAAATGGGCATTGTTGTTTTGAGTGTGTACATATATATTTTTCCTTAAATAATATCATGTTATAGAGTCCATGGTGTTCTCTTATCACTCAGCAATGTTTTAAGATTCACCCAGGTTGCTCTGTAGTCCAGTTCTTTGTCGCCTGCTGCTTCATAGTACCTGCTGGTCTGCAGCCCCGCAGCTCCGCCATCCGCTCCTGGGGGGGTGGGTGAGCTCCCTCAGGTGCCTCCATCCCCACACTGTTGCTAGAGAGTGCTAGGGAGCAGCCCTTACAGCCTGTGGGGAAGGTGCCCCGGGAGATCTATGGGAGCAGAAATACTGGTTTCTTGACTAAGCAGCACCTACACACCAAGCATGAAGATTCTCTCACTGCCACATTCTTGCCGCCATATGACATTAACAAGCTTCAGATTTTTTTCTGGTCAACAGGTATATAGGGACATCCCATTTTAATTTGCATTTTTCTCATTGTTAATGAGTTTGAGAATGTTTTAAGTCCTGTTGGGCTTTTGAGTTTTCTCTTCTAAAAAATGCTTTTTAGTGTGTTTTTCCCATTGTTTTATTGGGCCTTGCTGCCTTTTTATTAGTGATTTTATGGAGTTCCTTGTATGTTACAAATATTGACTCTTGACAGTCTTATATATGCAAATATTTTTCCATTTTGTTATCTTTTAACTTCTAAGATGGCACCTTTTGTTGAAAAGCTCTTTAATTCATCATTTCTTACTTTAACATTTTGCTTTGGAATTTTTAAGAAGGCCTACTCTGCTCAGGTTTACACAAAAATTAACCTACATTTTCTTCTAGTAATTTGACAGTGTTATCTTAACTGAGGTTGTTGGTGCATCTGGATTCCACTTACATACATGGGTTTAAGTAGGAATCCAGTTTTCCCAATATTATCTAGTAACTCAATCTAACCTTTCTCCATTGACCTTTATTACATATTCAATTTCCACATGCACATATGTCCGTCTCTGAGCTATTCTAGTAGTCTAAATTTCTGTTCTTGTACCACTATCACATTGTTTTGTTTTATTATATTCACTAATTTGTATCGCTTTGCAGTATGCCTCATTACCAGATTGGGCAAATTCTTCCCTTTCTTCCTCATATTTTCATTTTTTTGAAGTTGACTTAGCTATTCATTAACTTTGAAGTGTGTTTATTGAATTCCTAATGGAGTTCATCTGCAATTTTTATCAATATCGTATTGAAGTTGCAGACTAATTCGGGGAGAAATGACATTCTTCTAATAATTTTGTTTAAATTTACAAGTTCCACTCTGTTACTTTAGGTGTGTCTTAAAATATTTGATTTGTAGCTTTTTATTGTTAGCTATTTCTAAAATTTTTTAATTTCTGCAGTTCTTTATTTTTGCATAAATACACTTAGCTTACATATTATTCAGTTTTGTTGCTATGTTACTTGTAGAATTGGAAACCTCAGATTTTATGGAGGGTGGGAGGGTGCTTTTCAGGTTCATCTTTTGTTTCTTTGTTCTAGCTATTTGTTGTCTACATCACCTGACATCTTTTTTTTTTTT